GTGTCGGTTATTACGAAACGCCTCATTAAAATTTATTTTTATTATTTTTTTTTTTATTTTCATTTTTTCCAAATTTAATGATAGTTTTTTGCAGAATGATTTTCTTCGTCTGATTAAGAACTTTAAGAGTAAAAAAAAAAAAAAAGGGAAGAAGCAATACTAAAATTTTCTTCATTCAATCTGAGGGGTCCCGTAGTGGACTGATCGTTAAGACACGGTTCCCAGCAGATCACCGAAGCATCCCAGCTTCGGTAGCCCGACAACCTGCACGCGAAGTCGAGCACTTTACGGTAGAACAGTTTAACGAGGACCAATACCGCACACCCTCGGTCCCTACGCAGACTGATCCAAATGGTCACAAACCTGCACTCTGACCGCAGCCAATGATGCTTGACTTCGGTGATCTGCTGGGAACCGTGTCTTAACGATGCGGGACAAGGCGAAAAGATATTTTCACTCTTATATTTATAAAACCGAAATAAGCCGAATAATTTGTTTAAATGAAAAATTATGTGAGATTTTAGCAATGAAATCGGTTGTTAAATTAGAAAATCATCAAAAATCACCAAACCAAGTTGCCTCGTGTCATCACCGCAAAAATCTCATTCCCCAAATTGCGTGAATTTCATTTAAAGAGAACGGTCCAATAATGGTGCCTTATTTCTCTAACAAAGCTATAAGCTCTTTCCCAAGAACTCCTCCTGAAGTGAACTGAAGTGCTTTTATAATATTCTTTGCCATCTCTACGGGTCTTATGTTTATGGCATTGCTCTAAATTAGGAACAAGCAAGCAATGGTGAGTACAATCACATTAAATCGCATTTATTACCTTAATTATACTGATAATTTATACTCAGACTTTTTAAAAATTGAATGCTTTTTTCAATATTTTGCCGATTTCCGTTTTTTATCCTTGGGTATTTTATTTTAAACTTCTTTATAGCTGTACATACTTAAGAATCGTGATAGCTACGTTAACATTTTCTTCCACATTTTTATTAATTTTCTATTATTGGTATTAAGTTTTTTTTAGCATTTTTATTTGTTGTGTTACTTAATAAAAGCACTGATTTACATGAGCGTGTTTTTTAGTATAACTATCTTGTATATGACTAAGCTTGAATCGTTGATAAAATTATCAATAATTAAGTTAAGAAATTTATTTTTGTTAGTGTTGATATATATTTCTGAATTTCATGATCGATGTGTAACGTTATTAGTATTTATTAGAAATATTTATGTTAGCACCGATTAATCAATTGATTCACATTTTCCGGTTTCAGTAGTTTTAGTGTGCCATCTTCCTATTCAAAATGATTTCTGTATGCAAAATATTCGCAAACTTTGGCAACGGTCTGCAAGAAACTTATTAAAATATCATAATAGAGGATTATGAGGAATGAAGGTTATAACTCGTGGCCACCCTCGGGCAAACGTGTACATTTTCTTTTAAAAATTTGCAAGATTATAATCCATTTTACATCGTGGCGGTTGTAGTAGACATTTCATATTGTGATACGAGAATATCTCCTATTCAAACTTTCCATCATAATAGCTTCTTAGCACTAAAATATTTACTACTGTGCTTACTTTAAACAGATTTGTTTTCAGTATGCACCTAATGTTTGATGTATTCTTTTCTTTCCAACTGCTTTTGCTGTGCTGATTTCATCATCTAATACCACAACCTCATTTAATTCTAATTTCATATTGATAAATTAATAACACTTGTCCCATTCAAAATTAGCAAGTCCTACTAATGTATTATGAACAATGGCGCTTCAAAACCGCAGCACTTCAGGATTAGTCGAAAGAATGCATATAGCACCGTATGATTTGATATAATCGGCTGACACAGAACATGCCAAACAGGGGTTTCTTGAATCCGCAATCCAAACTTAGCATTCTTTAATATCTGTTTATCTACAAATAATTATAAGAATATCAATAAAAAAAGTGAAAATTTGTAGCAATAATTGCCAAAGAAATTATTAAAATTCTGCACATACATTTATGATGGAATCTGCTGATGTTGTGAACAATAGTGAAAACTCAAATGCTTTATATAAATTATTCATGTGACATATATTAAGAATATTGGATTAATTTTATTTCAACCAAATTTAAAATAATTGTAAAATGTACGATAGCTTTTCATTCCTTTCCAACGTGGAAAAAGGGGTTCTTAAATATAATTCTGCAGGAAAATATATATCTTTTAGAAACTTAAAGGAGGGTCACCATGTTTCTGCCACTGCGTTAATTGGCCTTAGAAGATGAAATTTTACTAGGAAGTGTTTCTTACTTGTAAGCTCAATGGGTACTATTTCCCACCAATGTGGATCTCTTACCATTGAGTTAACTGTGGGAGGTTTTCAAGTTTTTTTTCCACCACTTCATGCAAATACATGAATAAAAAAGATAACCATGAATAAAACAAAAGATAAACATGAATAAAAAAGTATGTAACAATATACAATTATTTTCAATATAATCATAGTTTTTCGTGGTTGTATACTACTTTGCATAAATATTGTGATACATGGCCGGGCAGCAAATAAAATTTTTGCTGTGTAATAGATAGGGTGACCCGGGGTAATTCATGATCACTCTGTTTCTGGGGTAAATAATGATCACCTAAGTTTTATTTTAAAAAAATTATTTTTTTTTTAAAATTTAAGACATGGACAAGAATGCTTGTACACTTTACTAGAGTATAACTACATTTACTTATTAATAATTTTTTGTTTAATCTAACAAAATAAGTATCTTTTAAACTGCTTTCTGTATTTTCCATTTCAAAGATGGGTTTCAAAATGTGCACATTTCTGCAAAGATCCCCCTCCTTCTCTTAATAATAAATAATTTGAGTCACTTTCTTTTTCTTTGATATAAAAGTAGTGTAAGCTTTTGTTTAATTGTTTCACATCTACTGTAAACATCAGTGTTTTCATCATAGAAAAAAAATGGGTGAGAATTTCTCACCCTTTCTCAAAAACAGGGTGAGATTTCAGAAAGTTAAGTGAGATTTCTAAAAACTAAAAAAACACAAATAGACTTGAAAAAAAAATCAACTCTTTTATTATACTAAATTTTTAACGTCTTCTATTTTTTTAAGCATTGAATATTTTTGGTGCATCATCATAGAAGATTTTGCCTTTACTATGTATTTGTCCATCTTACATTAGTGCAAAAAAAAATTTTGAACGTCTTACATGAAAAAAACCTTACCTACGGTAAACACGTGGTTGCAGAGAAATGTGTTCTGAAAGGGGTTCCGTGGTTCGGTTGTGTTCTGTTGTTCGAAAAGGTTCTAAACAATACTGGTAAATAGGGAAGCTAGATAACGGAGCAAATGTTGAAAATAATGAAAGATCCAGGAAGAAAAGTGAAACGGATTTTATTCTAAATAGCGTAATTCGAAGCTTCTTCCAAAATGCGAGAAATTCGCGAATTTTGAAATTGATTTATAGAATGCGCGAATTTCTCGCAGTAATAATTTTTTAATGCGAGAAAAGAAAAAAATATGCGAGATTCTCGCGTTCTCGCGCTGTAGTGAAAACACTGAATATTATAATTGATTATAGGAATCTATATCAAATGTTGCCCCCTACAGATGGAATAATTATTGATCACTGGGGTAATTCCTGATTATTGTCATTTCTTCTTATAAATAGTATATAAAATAGCTTATAAATACCTAATTGTCTTTTCTTAAATAACAGTTTATATTTATTAGGTGGAACAACTATAAAATATATTTTAACTGTCATAACAAAATTTGTTTTTAACTGTATACAAGACTGTATTCTGATTTGCACCATTTCTGATTTGTTTTACCTTGCTTCTATCTTAATTTTATGTGTGTACATTGTTAGAATAATTTTTAAGCTTATAAATTAGCCTAGCATAATTGTTAGAATAATTTTTAAGTTTATAAATTAGCCTAGTATAAATATGGTGAGAAATTATAAGCCTAAAAAGGATACTAAGCTTCTAGAAAACAAAATTAGTGAATTTCTTTTAATGATTGAAAATGAAAATTTCAGTGTGAGAGCTGCTGCCAGAGCTGTTGACATACCTTACTTAACTTTACACTTTCCCTTAATGAAGTTAAAAAATCCAGCAAAAGTAACCCATGTGGGAACTCTCTTATATTTCAGAAGAACATGAGAATGAGTTGGCTGATTGCCTAAAATGTATGGCACGATGCAAAGATTTTTGAAAATTTAAAGTGTTAATCGTTCTTCCTGCTTTTAAATAAATCGTTTTATTAGCTGCTTAAACATATCTTTTTGGTTTATTTGTTTGATCTTGATGCCTTATTTGTTAATTACCATTATATAATTATTTTTAAACAGTCCCTTTACAATAAAAACTGGTGATAAGTATTTACGCCAGAAATGATCAGGAATTACCACAGAAATGATCAAGACCAGGGATAATCCCTGATCACTAAAAACTTAAAATCTTTTAAATTCTAATTAGATTTTCAAACAAAAGAAGGTGGCATTGGACTCATCTCATATAGCCTCAAACTTCCAGTAAATATTAAAATTCTATTTTGAATAGTTTTTTCACAAAATAGATGTTTGCGTTTTTTGATCAGGAATTACCCCAGGTCACCCTACTAATTTTCTCAGTTGATCTCTATTTGTAACTCAAAAAAAAAAATTGTTTTAGACATTTTTGCTGGTTAGCAATTAAAACTGCTATCATTTTTTTGTTGAATTTTTTATTAAAAATAGTTTTCTTAATATTTGATTATGTAAAATAATTCTAAAGCCATCTAAATATTTTTCCCTTTGTAGTTTTTTTATGTACAAGTATTATTATGCATTTCTCATTATTAATGGTTTCTTCTATTAGCTAAAGTTATTTTAAACAATGGAATCAGCATTTAATATCTCCAGGGGTCTGTCTAGGTTTTTCTGTGAGGTACCTTATTTGTGAAAATTTAGACATAATTTATGAAAAATAAAAATTGTTTTAAAAAATCAACACATAAATATGGATTAATAGTTTTTTACGGGATAGAAAAAAAAAATTAGGAAAAGGTATTTTGTGAAACTACCGTTTTTCCTAAAGTTGAATTTGTGAAGGTACTGCTAAACGATAGTAAATTTGGCTTGGACAGACCCCTGATCTCTGTGTATATATAAAGAATAAGAATGTTTCTTTATTGATTAAGAAAAATATCACCAGATTTTGAATTTTAAAAAACAGATATGAAAGTTTTGTTTTTAATTTTTGTGAAGTTCGTGCTAAATTAATTCGTGCTGTCATAAATTATTTATTAAACTATGTAAAACTGGAATTAATATTTAAATTTTGATCTGTTCTAGACTTGAAAAAAAAGGGGGACCCAGACTTAAGAGTACTGGTTCTAACAAAATCATTGCTCTGTTTAAAAGAGCATAACATTCATTCGATACATGATGCTAAAAGAGAAAACATAACATTAGCTTCTATAGATATTAGTTTCAAATCTAAGTTCTTTCATTATTAATTCTGTTTTTTCATTTTTAATAGTCTCATCGGAAGTTTTCTGCCCCCCGACATGGATCCTTGGGATTTATTCCTAAGAAAAGAAGTAAGAGGCATCGTGGTAAGGTGAAGGCTTTTCCCAAGGATGATCCATCAAAACCTGTACATTTAACTGCCTTCATTGGATACAAGGCTGGTATGACTCATATTGTACGAGAAGTAGACAAACCTGGTTCAAGTAAGTCTCATACTTCATGAAGAGTATTATCTTCAATTTTATTTTAAATTGTATGTTTGGGGATTCCATAATGTCCTGTGAGAGTAAAAAGCTAGACTGGAAAGTTTCTGGTGACCACTTTTTTCGTTTCACTGGCCACTTTTTATGTGACCACCTTGATTTTCGTTGAAAAGTTTATAGATTTGCACATTTTCCCTTGTTAAGCAATATATGTTAACTTGTGGATTTATTAGTTTGAGTTTATGAGTGGAAACTTAAATTTATTAGGTTATTACTATTTCAACTTATTCTGACTTCTATTTTTAACGAAATTGCTCATTTATTTGAAAATTGTGTAAAAAAAAATTGGCGGACATGTCAGATTTTGATTAAAACATTATAAGGAAATATTAGGCTTTAAGAATTTTTTGCACCCCAGTTCAACTGTTTTATTAAGTTGCTATCAATATTTTGTATAATTATTAAAAATAAATTTCCTATTTATGTTTATTATATTAAGTCTTTTCTTAGAAATTTCAGTCTTATTTGTAAAGTTAAAAATTTATTTTACTTTTTTTTTTTTTTTTTTTTTTTTTTTTTTTAATTTTNAGAAGCCAGGTCACTTTTTTTTTTTTTTTTTTTTAAATGATCTCAGGTTTTTAAATCTAATTTTAATATTTCTAGGAAAAGAGTTAAAATGGTAGTAAATAAAACTTGATTTTGTAAATAATGCATGTATGCATTATTTACAAATGCTTAAACATGCATGTATGCATTTGTGTAATCCATAATATAGAAGCGAGATTGTTAAGGTACTTATGACACAAAGTTACCCCCCAGATAAATTAACCAGTCTTACCTCTTACTAGACCTGCTTAAAATCATATATAGATTTTTTTGTCCTCACTGCTTGATTTCATTCAAAATTCATTGGTTGAAAAGGAAAGTTTAAATTAAAATCTACAATTATGATGTTGTATTTGTTTGCAGAGGTTAACAAGAAGGAGGTTGTTGAGCCGGTGACTATTCTTGAGACTCCACCCATGATGGTTGTCGGAGTGGTTGGCTACATTGAGACACCCAAGGGATTGAGAGCCTTTAAGACTGTTTGGGCTGAACATCTCAGTGAAGATTGTCGAAGAAGATTCTACAAAAACTGGTAAGGAGACTTTTCAATGTCTCTCTTGATTATTAGTCTGTATTTTCATAACATTTCTATTTTTTTTGCATTAGCTTTTATGCATTTTCAGTCTTGAACTAATCACAAACAATGTGCGTAGCGTTTTTTGAAGTGCTTTTTTTTAAACTATTTTTTATTTACGTTTTTCAAAAGCTCTTGGAAATGCATTTTTATATTCAGGGTTTGTAAAAAGTGCATAAAGTTTCTATCTTTTAAAAAGATTTTTCCTTTTAAGTCTCGATTTCCATTCGAAATTACAAAAAAAAAAAAAAAAAATTAAATTACAATAAATCATTTTCTGCAATATGTAACTGAAACTAGTTTTTTTGTCTTTGGAAATGTTTTATGTTATTGATTTTATGTTTATAAATTGAACTTTAAAAAAAAATATATTTTACTGTTATTATTATTATAATTTTTTTTGGAAAGTGATTAAAAATATTTTTAGTGCTCTAAAAGTACTCAATAGGGGCTTATTTTTTCTTGAAAAATCTAGCTACACACCCTGAACAGCTTAGATTTTCAGTTGGTAATAGAATTTCCGTATGTTTGAAAATTTGCCTTTGATTTATTATGCACCTGCAATTTTCTATTTTGGAAGGTTTGTTTCTGTGTGTATCAATTATATTTTTCGACAATTTAATGTATATTTTTTATTTAACATCAATTTCTCATTTTCTTTTTATGTAAATATTTTATTACAAATTGTGTGTTAATAAATTTCAATTACACCTTCGTTTCAAGAGGTTTTTCTGAAAAATAAATTTTTCCTTAGGTATAAGTCTAAGAAGAAGGCATTCACAAAATACTCTAAAAAATGGGCAGAAGAAGCTGGTAAAGTAGCAATTGACAAAGATTTCAAGAAGATGGCTAAATACTGCAAAGTTATTAGAATCATTGCCCATACCCAGGTTTGTACAGTTTTATTTAAATTTATGTCTAAAAATATTCCTATATAATGTTTTGTTAAAAAATGTATTGCTTTGTAAAATTTGTTTAAAACCTTATGTTAATTTATGTATTAATTGAGACCTTGAATTTAATTAGATAAATTGCTTCTTTTTCAATATTTTAATTTCTATTTTGTAATGCACATACTCGTTTATTCAAGAATTATGTACTATCGAAGGAATTTTTTTTTTTTAGAAGGGAAATTTTGATTTTAAAAAAAACTTAATTGCAGGGTTGCTGCAAAAGACTAAAATGCAACTATTTTCAGGAAAAAGACTTTTCTGCACTGGTAGAATTGTTTTTTTTTTTAAGCATAAATTGGGTTGAAAACCTGCAGCCCTGAATTTCTTTTCTTAAGAAATGTAAAATACAAATAATTAAATTTTTTTTGCAACAAAATTCTGCACAATTTTTTATACGATGTTACTATGCATGAATTATATTTGCTAAGTTAATAATTGATAAAAGGGAAAAGTTCTTCGAATCAGTGTTTTTTTTTTATGAAAAAGTATTTTTTTAATGAATTCTAGTAATTAAGAGTTTAATTTTCTGCAAATATACTAAGTTTTTTATATAGAAATTATCATATTTGCCACCAACTTGACTAAATGGATAGTGGTATATGATAATTAAATCATTTAATAAAATTTTAGTCTTGATTTTGTTATTTTGTCAACTATTTTAATAGTTTTTGGCAACTATTTTCATGCTTTAAGCTACTGAAAGAAACAATTTTGTTTTGTTCGTTTTTTTCTGTGGCCACCCTGTAATTGGAAATATTAGGCTCTGAGAATTTTCTGCACTCCTGCTTATTATGAACATGGATATTTCCAATAAATTACTTGCTGTTTTATTATCTTACAATAGTTTTGGTACATTTACATTCTAGTCTAGATCAGCATCAAATGAAAGAATGGTATATTTCACTCTTATTCATACAAAACTGAAAAATTAACAAGGAATACAGTAAGCTCCAATTCTTCAAGGAAAGTAGTTAAAATTGTAGTAAATGAAAATTGATTTTGTTTCTAATAAGATAATTGTTAAATGTTTTTTTTATTCACTGGATTGCTTTTGTAACTTCGTAATTTAACATGATTTAAAAATAATTTAACATGTTTCTAACGAAGACCATTGATTCTAAGATTTAAATGTTCTAACTTTCACCAAATTCTGTTAATGAGATGTTCGTTTATATGCGATTCTTCTACCAATTAGATTTGTATTATTGATTAATTTTGTTTGACTAAATTTTGCACAACTTTGGAATTCGCTAAAATCATGATTCTTGTTTGTGTGATTTAGATGCGTGTTGTGTGATTTGTTGCTGTGTCTTGTTTGTGTGATTTAGATTTATTTATTTTAAGTTTTATATAGCTATATTGTTCATAGTAAAGGGGTGAGGCTGGCAAATAACAGTTTTAAAAACTCATTGAGTCATTTGAACCTTAGCATACTTTGATATAAGATCGTGAAACTACATAACTCCTTGTAAAATTGAGGTTGAGCTCTGATTGTGTATTAAATGGAGTGTGTGTTTCAGATGAAATTGATGAGGAAGCGTCAAAAGAAGGCCCACATCATGGAGATCCAATTGAATGGTGGAAGTATCTATCAAAAGATCAAATGGGCTCGTGAGCATTTGGAAAAACCTGTTCCCTTGAGCCAAGTATTTGCTCAGGATGAGATGATTGACGTTATTGGAGTAACTAAAGGAAAGGGATTCAAAGGTATGTATCTCTCCTGTTTTAATGAGTTATATATATTTTCTGGGCTGGTTTTAAATCCTCTAGATTTTAACTAAAATAAACATGGAATATTTTCATTTAATCACAACCATTTTCAACTGCTAGCAAAATTATAATATTTATATGTATACAGGGCCTGTGCTAAGGATTTTAAATTATAAGTCGGTACATCAAGATACTCCCTCGATAAATTTTTTAAGTATTCTTCGCTAATTTTAAAATCAATTCTAAGAATCATTTAAATATAAAATAAAAACTGGACTATTATTAGTAAAAATATATCGGTTTGTTGAAGACTTGGGTTGATTCTTGATCTACCAAGGAATGACTGTGCTATGTATTTTGTTTAGTAAAATATTTTAGGAGGGTCCTGTGACAGAATTTTTTTAGGCTTTCTGTGGTGAAGCTCTCTGGTATCTTTCGGCAAGATACTTAATAACTAATATATGTGTTATTAATTTAAGGTTACAAACTTTGTATTTAAAAAAAAACTACTTGGATGTATTAAATAAGTTTTTTTTAATGAAAATATAATATTTTTAATTCTAATATCGTGGGCAATATTCTCAGACAATATTTTTCTCAAATAAGAACCAAAAAATTATGAGCATTACTTTCCCCTCCCCATGTTTTAAATATAATTTTAGAGAGAAAAAAATTTTGCAGGAAAGAAAACCAAAAATTTTTTACTTCTGATTATTCTGAAGAGTGTGTTCTTTACTTAAAACTATTAGTGATATATTGTACTATTGTATATTGTATTGACTATATACCGTAGACTATTTGACTTATTTTTAAAACTAATATTTTTAAATTGTTTATAGGTGTAACAAGTAGGTGGCATACAAAGAAGCTGCCCCGCAAGACTCACAAGGGTTTGCGTAAGGTTGCCTGTATCGGAGCTTGGCATCCTAGTAGAGTTCAGTTCTCTGTTGCGAGAGCTGGACAGAAAGGTTATCACCATAGGACTGAAATCAATAAAAAGATCTATAGAATAGCACAGGGTGTTCACACTAAGGACGGAAAAGTCATAAAAAATAATGCTGCCACTGAGTATGATTTAACCGAAAAGACTATTACGCCAATGGTATTCTTTCCTCCTTTAGTTTTATTTAATAAGGGTTATTAATAAATCCTCTACATCAATTGTTATACCTGGTGCGTTGCATGCTTAAAGGTGCTTATTTTCGTTTTTTAAAAGAGCTTAAATTTTGATGTTCAAAGGTGAGGTTATTTTCTTTACCTCATCGTAGCTGCCAGCAGTCCAGAATTTTTCGGATTTTTTCTTAATTTTTAAATCTAATCTGGAAATCAGATATTTTTATTAAAAAAATCTGAATTTTTGTAAACTTGCATTATTTTTGCTTTTAATCCAATCCCTTGTTCTAATTGCCGCAATCACGCTTCCTGCGATTATTAGTAGTTTTTATTGGGGAATACTATTCCAATAGCTGTTGCTGAACTTTTCACTCAATTGAATCTTAAACAACTATTATTATTTTTTTTAAAATTTATTGTAGTATTTCTTTATGATGTAGTTTAATATTTACCCATGTTTTATAATTTGGAGATTAATAATTATATATTAGGTGGCGATTGCTTTTATTAACTATTATACCGGAATTCCTAATTATAAAATATTAATGTTACTTAATTTTCTGAAAGCTCCTTTACAAAAAGATAGACAGTTTTTAGTACCCTAAGTATAGTTTTAAATTATAAGATAATTTTAATAGAGATTATGCTTTTTTTCTTTAATCATACGTGATGTTATAAAGACATTTTTCATAGTTGACAGTCTCTTTTGCTACAGGTTTGTTTCTTTTATTAATGTTAGATAGATTTAAAATTTCTGATTGTGTAGTTTTAATTCATATGGAATTAAAACTACTAAACTGGAATTAAAACATAGATTATTGAAACTTTTGAAAAAAGCAGCGATTTATTATATACATAATTCTAACGTGTTTTTGCTAGATAAGATGTGTTAAAACAAATATATAGATGAACAGAGATATATTAATCAATGTTGTAAAATTATTTTGATTCTGTTTTATTCTTACATTTAAATTTGATCTATGACATGTTTGTTGAACAACTTTTTTTCTTCTAGGGTGGTTTCCCTCATTATGGTGAAGTAAATTGTGATTATCTGATGTTGAAAGGGTGCATTATGGGGCCTAAGAAGCGAGTCATCACCCTCAGGAAGGTAATCAAGCAGTACTTTTATTAACCTAATAGGGAAACACATTTTTACAAAAGATTATTTCACTGTTATTTTTCATTTAATAGAGTTAAGGTGGGTTGTCTGTAGTTAGTTTAAAATTTCTTTAGATTCCAAAGTAAAACTTTTCTATTTAAAGAGTTTATACATTAGTTGACTTTAACGTCGCCTCGTATGAAAGTTAAATTTTGCAGTGCACCTTCTGTTCAAGAAACTAGTGTAAGTTTGTTATAAATTAAGCCCACTTACTTGTGTGGTTAAACTGCCCAATGTGTTTTAAATTAAGCAAATGGTGTACAGATATTACAAATCTCCTAACCATGGTTAAGTGTTAAGAAAAATACCAATTTTCTGGAGGGTTTTATTTATTTTTTTGTCTGTGCAAAGCTTATTATTAGTTGAAATCTGTATTTTTTTTTAAATTTTTTTCTTCCTTATTATTTTTTTTAAATTTTTTTTTTTTTTTTTTTTTTTTTTTTTCNTTTTTTTTTTTTTTTTTTTATTTCCACGATCCGGAAGTTTCTGGAAGAACTTCTTAAAACTTCTGGTCCAGAAGTTTTAAGGGATTGCCGATCACATTTATGTATAAAAACTCTTGTATATTTAATTGAGAAATATTAGAACTAGAATTGATACTTGGCATCTCTTTCAAAAGTAAGTATTTTTTCTGGTAGAATAATTGTCATTAGAGATGAAAGTTAACTTATACTTTATTCTTCATTTCAATTAGGCTGCATATAATTTATTTAGAATTTCATGTTTTGAAAATATCAATTTATAAAGATATTAATATTTTGAAATGTGTCATTAATGATTTTACACCAGAAATTTTCAGGATTTTTGAATTGGGCTCACAATCACTCTTGTTTTAGTAAACAACATCTTATATGCTTTTATTTGTGCTACTTAAAGTGTGGTCTTACATTTTGAGTTTAAAAATATTAAGAGCTGTTGCAATTGTTAGTATTGTCTATATATTAAGTATTTCTGTTGTTTTTCAGTCTCTACTCATTCACACCAAGAGGGCTGCCATGGAGAAGATTAATTTAAAATTTATTGACACTTCCTCTAAATTCGGACACGGTAGATTCCAAACACCTGCTGAAAAGCGTACTTATATGGTGAGTAACTTCAACATTGTCTTATAAGTCTCCAAAAAACTTCTGCGGAAGTAATTTGGGTGCTAGAGATCCTATATTTCCTGTAAATCCTATGTTTAAAAATTATACTTTTTTTCCCCCCTTTACACTTTTTAATTTTCCTGTTCTACTAGCTATGGTTTCTAGCAATTTTCTAGGTAGTTTTTATATATATATATATATATATATATATATTTTAAATAAGAAAAAGTAATAAATTTTCTGCAAATAATATTTTCGATCATAAGTCGGCATTAAATTTTTTTTTTAAATGATAAAATCTTACAATAACTGACACCATAAGTACACCATAACCATAAGTACACCATAAGTGACACCATACACCATAAGTACAGAATCTGAAATTTTAAGATGTTCAAATCAACTTTTTTCATTGGTTCCCAAATATGGTTCACTACAAAATTATGTGGGAATATATCAATTTCCACACCTGTGTAGTATTAAAAGGGTTTATTTAATTTCTTATGTATTGCGCAATTTTCAAAGATTTTTTTTTCCCTTCGGATTTTAAAGCAAACATTTTGTAATAAAAATTAAATTTATTTCTGTTAGATATCTAAGCTTTCTTTCAATATTTTTTGCAGGTATTGAGTATAATGACCAAAAAATGTAAAATTTTTATTGCTACATTTTTTGGCATAGGGTGTTCAGAAGCATTTTCCGCTCATAATTCAAACTTCTTAAAGCTTTAAACATCATTGAAAAGTATGAGAAATTGCATTGCCTGTAGACTCTTTAATTTATAAAGTAGTGTTTCCATTATTTTGTCTTACCCCTGTGTGTGTATATATATATGTATATAAACACATGAAACAGTTTTAATTTCTCGATCTTCTTAGTTTATTTTTATGAGCTAAACTTTCTCATGCTTAATTGTTCACGATTGATCAGTTCTACCCTTGTTTATACCTCTACTCATGTAAAAATACATATATGGTTTTTATCAGTCATTATTATTTATTTTTTTAATCTGTGTGGTGTGAATAGTCTTTTTCTTTCACTTAACTGATTGTTCAGTATTTTTTAAACTACCAATGTTTACGTATCGTGTTTTCTTTCTTGTGCTACCATTTCATATATGAAATTGCTGGAGTGAGTCTTTAATTTTTTCTTTCTTTTTTCTTAGGGTCCACTCAAAAAGGACAAGGTTAAAGAAGAAGCAGCTGCGTAGAGAGTATTTTGAAATAAAAAGTGTAACAAAAGATGGTCTCTTTATTTTCTGTTTTACTTGTTGCCTCATTAGACTTTAGCTTATTGATTGCTTGTGTTTTTTTTTCTTACGGTGGGCAAATCATAACAAAATTCTAAAAGCTTTTGTGGCATTCTAGTTTCAAGGAATCTTAGTTGTCACAAAAGGCAGTTATAATAAAAGAAAAAGAGTATTTGTGATTTCGTCTAGGCTTGTAACTAGTGCCCGGAGCACATTTCCCCTGAGTTTCCTAAAATCTTACCTGGGAGGTTCTAGTAAGATGCATTGCCTTCTCTACTGGATATTGCGAGTTTCTCTTGGTCTACTAGTTAAATCTAAATTCTCTTGGTTTTTGTACGTTTTAAAGAATTACTGTTGAATTAAAATCTTTGTGCATGTTACTGCTTACTTGCTTAAATATTTAAATAAGAATTACCAATACATAAAGAAACAATCCTCATTTTTAGAAAGCAGTTCAAAACTTTTTTTAGTACTAAACTGTTGGGCTTATTTTTATTCTGATCAATCTTTTTATCTCAACTATCTTTGAATTAAATGCCTATTAATATCTGAAATAATGAACATATGTAGTACATAATTCACATTTCGAGTATGTAAACTTACACGTGTTTTTTCTTGAAAAGACTAAATGTATGCCTCAAGCTCCACATCCTAAATTTTCTCGGACAATTTTCAAGACTTGCTACAAACTAGAATTTGCCTGTTATCCAGATTTTTTTTCCTTCATGTTGTTTGGTAAGGTATGTATTAGCTTTGTTCAGGCAAAAGACTACGATTCTTGCCTGGTGCACTGGAGATTATTTTGTCTTTTCATGGGTAAACTTATTTGTTTTACTGCAAAGTTTCAAATCCCCAAATAATTTATGATGTTCCTGAGAGCCGGCAATTTATTGCACATCATCAAAATAGATTTGTGGGCCATTTCCAAGCTAGGCCACCTCTTTTTCATTGATAAGGGTTTAGAATTCTGCAAAAATATAATACTGAAGTTTTTGGAAATGTTGCTCGAAGTGAACTGGTTTTTTCTAGGTTGGGCCCACATTAAAATCATACATATGGGGCCAAATTTTGTAAAGAATGTTTGTTCTTTCTTGTTCCTTAAATTTAACACAAGATGCCTGCAGGGTTGCCACAGGTGACTAGAAGTATGTTTTTTAATGAAGTATTTTTTGATGGTATTCTATTCCAGTAATTAAAATATTTCATTCTCCTTAATTATACTTATATTTTCATAAAGATGTATTGCTAGAACACTAACCCTTATAGAAGAATTCTCTTGACTAAATGGATCATGTTATATGACGGCTAAGTCATTTAATAAAATTTTACTTATTTGGCACCTATTTTTTTCTGTGACAACCCTGTGCCTGTAAAAATTACCTCTAAATGGATTTTACCTTTGATAAGTTTAAATCCAGATGAATTAGAGTGGAATCTTGTTAAAGGCTTTGCAGTGCGCTGTTACTCAACCATTGTATTATCTTAAGTCACCCTTAAAATAATTGATGGATTTTATCTCGTACCAAGTGATCGGGAAGCAAACCTTTTCCAGCTAGATAGTGAATTAATAGTTAGGTATTTGTTTCGAGTGGCAAAGGAACTTTGAAAAGACAGACCAGCTTTGTATGGGATAAGGCGGAACGGAATGAAGTTGTTTTAAGCAGAAAGATTAATAACCTGTGCTCGATTACTCTTTTAAATCTAATATCTTTTCATTTCAAATAGAAACATGTAAGTAACCTAAAGAATATTTTATGTAAATTGACATGTTGTTTCGGTGTTAAAATTGATGTAAGAAAAAATTTAGCCTATCAGATAAAATTAATTTAGTAATAATGTACAATGGATGTTTAAAATTGGTGGTAAGTATGCCTACCGCGATCTTGGAGTTAATTCATCAAAAGTAAAGCAATGAAATTATAATATTGCTGAGTTATAATTTTAGACCACGATTTTTTTTTTTGCTTCTAGAGTTTAATAGCGCAGAGCCCCAATGAAGAAAAAAAATTTTTTTTTTTTTTAAAGTTTCCGTTTTGTAGATGCATATATCTAAATGGATAAAAAGCTATGAAAAGACTTTCTCGAAATAACAGACGTTTCTCCGAGGGGGGACAAGTGCATATTGTACTTCTTTCGAACGATTCATCTAAATGTGAGGACGGACAATGTAATTCGCCCCTCCAGAAGTTAAGATCTCAAGAAAAAAAATGGCAATTTTTAAATAAAATTTAATAATATACATCGCGGAACACTGTTTATACTTACGCTTTTTCAGTCGAATATTGCAATTTGTATTAACGCGTAATAATTCTAGAAAAATTTCAAAAAATATAGTTAGATACAAAACAAGTAGGATATATAAATTGATATTTATTTTTTTCACCTTGTGTCACGATCGCCCGTGAATTTGAGGGGGGAAAAACTGCTCTCTCTAATCTTTCCAGCTATACGCCAAATGGAAATTTTGTAGGAAAAAAAAATTATTTTTAATTTTCACTCCATTTTTCTGGTTGGTAACCTAATTTTCTTCCGAAATTGAGATGAGCATGCGAAAATAATGTCAAGAAAAATTGGTAATTAGAAAGAAAACATTTGAAAATGAGGGAGCCAATAATGTACTTACACCCCATCTGAAATTCGTGAAAAAAATCAATTAATATTTCACCATTTTTGTTTTTTCAACTTAAAAGCTTTTCTAATGCAAGGAAAACTTTAGTTTTGAAACCTGTGAAATTTAATTGAGGGGTAGGATAATGTACGTAGCCTTTTTGAAGCTTTGACATTCGCTACAGTAAAGTAAAATAAAATTAATAATTTCAGAAATAGAAACTTTTTTTTTCCAACTTTGTAGCTATTTTCAAGGACGATGCCAGTAGGGGGTCAAGGGGACTGTTGCCCCCCTATCCGGACGGTCTTAAAACTCATCAGGGAAAAGAACTATAATTATGATCTTAAAATTTTGTAGATGATAATAAGTTAAAAACAAAAAGATCAATGTGTATTCTTTTTTATTTACACTCTCCCACCAACTTCCTGTTCAGTCACCTTTTTCTTCGAAAATTCTAAGGGTGAAATCTTGTGTTTGTATACATATGTGAAGTTATTCAATACCCCTGAATGATAGGGAGAGACATGAAGACTGTCCTAACTCCTACCCCTTGGTACTAGTGTAATCACTCTTTCTGCATCTGTTTATAATACATGCACACATTTAGCATTCAAAGAAATGACAAAGTAAGTTTGTTCTGTCAATCGTTTTATTTATTTATTTTTCTTAAAATTTGCTCTTAAATAGTGTATATATTTATATGTATCAATAAATTCAATTATAATTCCGCATATATGAGTTTAAAAATTAAAATAGACTTGCAATACTCATACCTACCAAGTTGTCTTATGAACTGCAATAAAGAAAACCAAAATTCATTATTTTTCATTTAAAATGCACGTATAATCCATCAGAAATAGTTTTTCTAGGAAAAAAAATTAGGATTAACAAAATGGACATACAAATCACGATAGTAATCTCTGCTGTAGTCGAAAATATTCCTGTTCGAGAAAATTTTTAAAAAAGATAGGAACGAAATAAGAATTTATTTTGTTACGCCGAAATTTATTTGTTTTTCGTATAATAGACACTGCTTTCTCTAAAATCGTTAGATGGAGGGATAGTAAAACTGCACATATAGTACTTTTACATTATAACGAATTTATAAAACTACATTTTAATTTTTCCAATGTTTCTTATAACTTAAATGATAAATCTTCTAGCACCGATATGGCTTGTATGATAAGTGATTTAGAGCTCACTTACAATTGATGAGACTTGTGTTCGAATCCCCATGTTAATTCGTATACTGGTGTCGGTTTGTGCTGACAACAGTTTCGACATACAATGTATCCAGTGGTAGAGAAAATTTCATCATCTTGCCCTCGAGCCAACCATGGAATATTTTAATGTTTTTCTCCCCCCTTAAAATGTAAAGCAAATGTAAGCTTGTCTCAATTTTGATGTCTTCCATTAAAGTGAAATCGTCCTAAAACTTTACCAAGAAAAGGAGTTCAGTTCAAAATTGCAAAACTACGGGTTTTGGCATTAAAAAAAATAATCTATATGAATTGATAGTTTTAAAATTAAATATCTCAAACCTTGCAATAAATTTAATCTCATTCAATTTTTTTATTATTATTTATTTATTTTTGCCAAATTGTAAATTTTATTTTAAATTCATATGGCAAGAATTTTGTATGAAATGAAAAAAAAATATATAATCATTTAGAATTTATTTATTTTTGTTTGGTAAATGCGCATTGAAAGGTTTATTCCCTTTCTTTTTAATTAGTTCATTGACGATTAATACACATTCAATTTAATATGTTTTAAAACTTAAAAAAACGAAATGAAATAAAATTACTCAATTAAAAATAAAAATTTCTTGGAAATTTTTGCTACATGAGTTTAGTATAATTTTAATACACTTTCCATAGGTGCAAATATTTATTCTTTAAATCAAAATTCAGTTTCGTATTTTTGAAAATTTTAAATACAGTAAAATCTTGATATATCGAAAGGCATATTGCGAGAAGTTCGATATTGCGATACCTTCAAAACATTAGTGTTTAAGATACAAAAAATTGTTTCTTTACGACGAGTTAAAAAAAAAAATTAGGTTCAGGAAAATGCGTTGTTTTAATATTAAAATTGACAAAGTTATGCGAAAGAGGATAAAATGGAAGACATTTTTATTTATGTCTGATTATAATATAAAAAATGAACATCATTTCATCTTATAATAATAATCTAATAATATTCCTATAAGTTATTAAAGTATATATAAGGATAACCAGCAGCTAAATTATATTCCTATATAAAAATAATAAAAAAATTTGCTGTTATCAGCAATATTATCACATACTTCAAATGGATGTACAGTGCTCAAAAATAATAAAATAAATGGACCCACCTGAATAACTTTATATCTAATGATCGGATCTTCCTGTTTTAAAACTTTTTAAATGGTTTGAGAAGGTGACGTCGAATATACTAATTAATGTTGTTGTTAATTTACGTCGCGCTAGAGCTGCACAATGGGCTTTTGCCGTCACAATTTTGATCCTCTGCGGAGGGGATGGCACCCCCGCTTCGGTAGCCCGACGACCTGCACGCGAAGACGAGCACTTTGCGTTTGCACAGTTTAACGAGGACCAATACCGCACACGCTCGGTCCCTACGCAGACTGATCCAAGTGGTCACCCACCCACACACTGAACGCAACCAGTGATGCTTGAATTCGGTGTTCTACTGGGAACCGTGTCTTACTCTGACTAAAGAGTTGGTTTGTAAGGACAGTTCTTTTTATGTTAGTTAATGTTACGCTATTACCCTCTATTGTTTAATGTGAATGTATAATTAAAATACTGAGCTCTTTATGATGGTGTTTTTCTTTCATCGTCTTGCGTCCTTACAATTTTAAATTATTATAAAGTGGTCACTCACACTGACCGCAGCCAGTGATGCTTGACTTCGGTGATCTGCTGGGAACCGTGTCTTAACGATCAGTCCACTGCGGGACAATTAATTAATGTATACGATATTTTAAGTTAGAAAATTAGATACAGGCGTACTTTCGCTCATTAAACATACCTTTTTTTCGACGGATTAGGATATCTGACCTAAAAAATATTGTAGCCGCAATTCGAAAATATGTTACCAATAGTTTGGTTTAAAGTTTGGACCCCTGTTGACAGGGGGGCCTGATTAGATTAACGAATTTTGTAATTGTGCGCAAAAATATGCTTAGGGACAGAGGGTTCTACTGTAAAGTGATCGACTTCGCGTGCAGGTCGTCGAAGAGGGATTAAAATTGTAATGGCATGTCTTCAGATCATCCTCAGGGATGTTTCCCAGACCGTCGTCAATAGCCTATTCAGGTGTGGAGCGCAAGAGCAATAACATAACAAGCATTAAAATTCAGTTTTATGAAAAATAAAAATAACGCGTTGCTAAGACAACTCAATAATAATTACTATCTTGACGTTACACATATTGGGATGTAAAATTATTAATGGATTTTATTTATCCAAAATCGCACATAGTAGGAAGATAGAAAACCTTCCCTTACACAGGTTAGACATCTCAATGAGAATGCTCTCTAAAGATCGTAGCAACCTCGGTTATCGTAGCTCGTTGACTTTTCTATTTAAATTGAGTGGCAGTAGCTTCAAAAATTATCTTTGCTTTGATTGCATTGTGTTTTTGTTTATTTTTATTTTAATTTTCCATGCCGGTTCATGTCATCGCATTCTAAACTCTCGAATTGTCTTCTTTTACTAAAGTAATTTCATATGTAAATGAAACCTAGAGAGTTAAAATGCCATCTCTAATGACTGATGACGATCGGAACGCTAAACGAGAGGGTATATTTCGTCCACATTTTTGGTGCCTTTTTTAACTTTTCTTCGTAATACTTAAATGGAAAAAATGCTTGTCTGTACTTGAATTTGCTTTTTTGACTTTTTTAAAATATTTATATGAGCTTTGATTTTGGATTTTATTATGATAAAACATTCTCCCTGATACAACATTGTATTTGGTATAGTATTTAAATATAGAAGTATTAGTTAAAACTTAATCGAATCATCTGCCTTGGATAGTTGATTGATATCAAATTTGCATCTACCAATTTTTTTATATTTATAATTTGATGCAATTTCTGGTACTGGATTGGGTAACTCTAGTGGGGAAATTGCTGCATCAACAATTCTTCATTGAGTGTGCAGCTTGCTTCTTTCACTAAAATGCTTCATTCATAAATCAATGATTCCAAAATCGAAATTTGTTTGAAAATTTAAACCGGGTGACACATTATCACTTCCCTTAATATACATTTTCAGGTTTCTTCTCAAATATAAAGTAAAGCATGCATTAAAAGGGGATATTTCCATTTCCTGATCTATTGCGCCCACTACAATCGCCAAAAGGCCAAATAGATTTTAAAAAGTTAAAAAAAAAACATGTAGCTGTTTGTCCGGGGGTGGCTCTGAGTTATACAATTTGAGTTGGTCCCTCTCTGTGATATTTTTTAAATTTTTTTATTTTCTCTCGGGCCACTGCCTGGAAGTTGCCAAGACTTGTCGGTTATTCTACCACATATCAGGATACGGAAATCTCCCCCATTAAAAATTTGGGAATATTTCCGTATTGTGATCTGTAGCACCAACTACAATCGCCAAGGTGCCAAATAGATTTTAAACTTGCAAATTTTAAAAAAAAAAACATGTAGATGTTTGCCCAGGGGTGGCTACCTCTTTCGAATAGGTCCCTTTCTGTGATGTTTTTTTTTAGTTTCTCGTGTTTTTTAGTTTCTTGTCCGGAAGTTTCCAAGACTTGGCGACTATTCTACCACAGATCACGATACGGAAATCTCCCCAAAAATTGAGCAAAGAGGAACAAAGTGTTATTTAAGCGTAATAAATCACTACGACGAAAGGCAATCTGAAAACTTGTTGAGGAAATCCGTATCAGTATTTGTGCCTTAAAAAGAAATAATTCAGTTTTGGAGATTTCTGGTTAGAGACCTGCAAACTTTACAAAAGATTTCAATATCAGTACTTGCGATTAAAAACTCACCAAATTTTGAGGCTGTGGTACATAAAAAAATAGAAAAAAACATTCTAGGTGGCAAACTGAAAGGTTTATAATTAGGGGGAGATTTCCGAAGCTTGATCTGTGGCAGATCAATCGCCAAGTCTTTTCAACTTCCGGGTAGCTGCCGGCGAGAAACTGAAAAAACATCACAGAAAGTTACCTACTCGAACAGTATAACTGGTAGCCACTCTCTGGGCAAACATCTACACATTTTTTTTAAAAAAATTTCGTAGTTCCATTTGGCACCTTGTTGTTGATATTTGTGTTGACGATTGTAGTTGGCGTAGGAGATCACTTTACGAAAATATCCCCATAATTAGTCACTACACTTGAGAAAAACGCTACTTATTATTTAAAAAAAAAGAAATTGGTTTTAAACTTTTGGCACTTTAGTTGTAACTGGCAAACTGATATGACAAAAAGATAGTCCTCAAATACCAGATCTGGTGTTATTGTCAGCTAAACAAAAAAGAAAAATAACTCTTTTTTTTTTCAGACTTATTTGATCTTGATATAAAATGGCAAATATTAGTAATGATTTACATCCTAATTGTACTATATTTCGTCTTTTTTTTTAATCAGCACTGAAGTCTAATTGGAAAATAGCCTCTGCTGCTCAGTTTGTTTCTTTGTTCCGAATTGCATTCAAGTTACCTGAAATTGAAATTGAGGTAAGTTAATATCAATATTGTTGTGCATTATATTAGTACATGAGATATAGTTCGTCTAAAGTGAGAACTCCCTTAACCATTCGCCTGGACTCGTGGCGGTGACTATGGTATCGAGGTATTACTATTTGAATTAGGGGTGTGGGGTCACTATTTTAGGACAGGTTTTGGCTCGGGTTGGTGAGAGAAAGGGAATCTTTTTCTTTGGTCTATTGTGTTAGCCCTTGAGTGAAGAGAAACTACCCTCCCTGAAATGTGTTATTCCTATTTCCATAGTAGCAGACAGCCTTAAACTTTGTGCCGGGGGGAGTTCTTACTGCAGGCAAATTATAGTACAATATTATTGTTTTATTTCAATTGTTAGCTAATTCATGTCCAACCTGATATTTTTCAACAATATTGTACTTTAGTACTTGTTAATATGAAATGCTAGGAAGCAAGGTAAAATGTATAGCAATATTTTATTCCTGAATATTAAATGTTATGAAATTAACTTGAAAGTTTAATAAATAAAAATTCATTAGTTTTATGCGATATGTTTTATAATTTTTAAGTAGCTACATAACATAGTAATTTTGATTGAACTTTGTTGAGTTGATATTTTTTTTGCAGTAATTCAGGGAAAATTTCTGTATTACTTGGGGATCAGTCTTGTTTCAATTTGACCATGCCGTGATATCCATAATCTCACATTTTAATGAAGCTTGGCAAATTTATTCCTTTTGTGTGCCCAAATAAGGGTATAAATTTTTTTTTCAGTCTTGCTGGCTGTTTAAATGTTTGGAATTACAAAATTTGTGCCAATCGCCCCATTGAAACACAATTTATTCTTTTGCATGGTGCTTAGCAATTTTAAAAAGTACTTAAAGGTGCTTATTTTCGATTTTCGTTTTTTAAAAGCCCTTAAAAGTGCTTTTTTCATAGGGTGTTTTTAAAAAGTGCTTAATTTTCCCTTTTCGAGAAGGAGATTTTTTTCTTTACCATTTCGATTTTTGCCATGTATTATGCAAAGCGAGCATTTCACATTGTCACACTTCAATCAACCACGATCTATTTCGTCATACCATTGGTTCATAGCGCATGAAACCGTCAATCATTTTACATGGTTGATGGAATACTTGCAAGTCCGCATGTGCGTCTACTGAGCTGGGTTCGATTGGATAATTGCACTGTCGTGTGCAACTCTGCTGCATTTTGCAAGATATTCTCAATTTCAAGCTTCATTTCCCACCCTCTGAAATCGAACTGAAAAGTCTCTCTATCTTTTTATGGTGGCTAATATAATCAAGAAAAGAGTTCTTTGTCAAAAACTAGTTCTTTATTGTGAACATGTAAAGTCTTTGAAAATTATTTTGCACTTTGTTAATGTATAAAGTGCTTAAAAAGTACTTAAAAGGTGCTTATTTTTTGTTGAAAGGTTTGGCGATGCGCCCTGTTTTGAAAAAACTAAACTATAACTTTTTTGTTTATCAAGTAATATGAAATAACAATGAAATTTCTTTGAATATACTTTAATCTGTAAACAGCTTTGTAAAAATTTGATTTAAAAGTTAAGTATTTATACATTGTCAGGAAAATTTTCTAATATGTAGTCTATGAATTTCTTTTAATGAAAAATAGAGTTCCACCAATTCCAATTTTCACAAGGTTTCCATAGAAACTGTTTTTTTAAATTTTTTTTAAATGTGTTATGTTATGTTAATGCCGACTTCTCCTCACACCAGTTGTTGCTGAATTCAAAATTGCACAAGGTATTTTATAACTGCAGTATACTCTCAATGTCTCAGATCTTGTTACGTAAAAAATATATATATATATACGTTTTTCCATTTGGCATTATATATACATCTATCCAACTAATGTTAATTTGAATTCATATGTCGAAGGGTTTCTTCTCAAAACCTTGATATGTCAAATTTTTTTCGAAATAAAAAACAAATTTTTTTGAGAGAAATCACAATGCAAGTTCATTGTAAATCAATTCTTTTTCTATTTAATGCATAATTGTTCTTGTTTTACTTTTAGAAATAAAATTACCATTGTAAACCAATTATTTTTTATATATGATGCAAGATTGTTCTTTTCTTACTTTTAAAAATAAAATTATCATTGTTGCATTTAGACTTATACTCACCTATCATTATTTACATGTTTAATACTTACATGTTCTTATGTTTCATGACTCTACATTTAAGAGTAATATTTTAGAATATTTTTTTAAATACTTTTTAGAATATATTTAGTTCTGAACTTATCTTGAAAACTCGTTATCTCGAAATTTTTTTAGCTTCCCTTCAACTTTCAGGAGTATACTGTAATTCAATTTTAATGTAATTATTTGCTTTTTTTTTACAACAGTTTTGATTAACTTGTTTTGTTCCATTTTGACAGGATCTGGAAGAGGGCCTTCTAGATAAAGCTAATGTGGAGCGTAAAATTCTGATTGAGCTCTTTGTAGCGCTTTTACGTGGAATTAACTATAAAGTCAAGTGAGTATTTTTCTATATATCCTAGTTATTTTTTATTTCCAGTGCATAAATGTCAACTCTACTGGATTTTTCAGTAGACTACTGGATTTTGCAAGTTTCTACTGGTCTATTAGTTTAATTAAAATTCTCCTGGTTTTTTGTACATTTTAGAAAATTCCCTAAAATTGAGTTTACGAAAAAAATTCTTATTGAAATAGAATTTTTTTGCAGATTATTGCTTGCTTGAATATTTAAATGATTATTACTAATACATAATGAAGTAAGTCTCATTTTTAGAAATCAGTTCAAAACTTTTTTTGTTATAAAATATTCAGTTTATTTTTATTCAGAACTCGTTTTAAATTAATTAAAAATACTTTTAACTATCTTTTATGCTATGCTAATGATATGATTAACTATCTTTTATGATTAATGCCTATTAATACTCAAAATTGTGAGTAAAGATAATACATAACATTTCAAGTACCGTATATTCCGGCGTATAACGCGCACTTTTAATACAAAAAATAACATTGGAATTTACGGGTGCGCGGTATACGCTGAATATAAAAAATTATAGATTAAAAAAATTTAAATATAGAAAAATACTTTTATTTTAAAGAAATAACATACCTTTACCTATATACTTCATTGATTTCCGTTATTACATAAATAGTTCATTATATTCGTCTTTCGCTATCAATTACAATTGTTAAAAATTTTTTATATTCTAATTACAATTTTTTTTGTATTATCTGTAAGGTGGGACCTAAGCATGTCCCACTCTAAAAGGCTTTCTGGTTTTCTTACGCAACCAGGATGGATTTGCCAGATGTTTTTTTCCCACAATTTAACACCATTTTTGTCCATCCAGAATCACATTATTGCTCTTTCAATTCTACCCTCACATACATGTCAAATTCAGTTCTTTTATTTTTGCAAAAGATAGGGAAAAATACTTTTTATTTACAATCTTGAAAGACGAGATATTGCACATGTATAATCCAAATTTTCGTGCGCGTTATACGAAGAGTATATCTTAAAATTAAAAAAAAATAATTAGAAATTACGGGTGCGCGTTATACGCCGGGGCGCGTTATGCGCCGGAATATAAGGTATGTTTAATGTCAATCATAAGTGTAAAATATTGCAGTTTTTCTATCTTGATGACTATAAGAATCCTTGAAATTCCCTATGTGTAAAATATTTAGTACATTATGCAACAAGCATCATGAAATTTATATTATTTGGTGAAATCTGCTGGAATGTAAATATTTATCGATTTTCAGTCTTTTACTCACATTTACTTATTTTATTAATTAGTTATATATATAATTAAATGTGTTCAAAACTCGTCTTAAAATAAGAGGTTTAAAAATAATTTTGGAAAAAAACAAGGGGAACACCATTTTTATTTGTGATTGTCTTAAGATGAAAAAAAAATCAGATGTTTTCAATTCGAATCTGATCTTTTTTTAATGTTTCAATTACCCGTTTAACTGTATTGTATAAAGTATTCACAATGGGAAGATAACATTAAACTTTATCATGCATTTTTCTAAATATAAATATGAAAACATCTGAGAGATATTATAAAGTGTTGAATGTATTTTTCATAAATTTGTACTTTTGTTGAGATTTAGAAAATTCATCTGAGAGAAATTAACTCAAATTTTAAAGCTTTTTTAAGTTGTCATCATTAGGAATCTTTGCAGAAATCTATTAATTATCATTTTTATGTGGGTGAAGAATTTTTTTTAAAAAATTTATAAAGTTGTTTTTTTATTTTTGATTCTACTGATATATATTTTCATGATAGTATTACGCATTCTGAAAAAATAAAATTTTAATTTTGTTCAAACAAAAAGAAATTTACTTGTTACAAATGATTTCTTAATATATGTAGAAAAGGACATTATTGATAGCTCATATTGTAAGTTAAATATAATTATTATCATGTCTGATCATACAACATCAATTTTAGTGCAATTACAATGCCTGTTATTTATCTTTTGATATATCTTTCTATTGTCCTTGTATTTTTCAATTTCCTGACTTTAATTTCATCCATATATTGCTCTCGCATATCAACATAGCTGTTGTGAATTATTTCTACCTGAATCAATTTTAGTTTTTGTTGACATTCAACTAATTAATTGGCGTTTAAAGAAAGATATACTGTTGTTTCTGTGAGAATTTAAAAACAGAGTGGAAGAACATATCAAATCAAGCGACATTTTGGAAAAAGAAAATATAGATTTCATAAATAGATTTATTTATTTCGTGTTGCTGCTGTGACAATTGTGGAACATAGTGGGAGAACATGCCGAAAAGAACATTTTAAAAATCATATAAATTATGGTTTTATTAAATTTTATGGCCAAATATGTGGGGCTATATCAATTTTATGTTTATGTAAACATATTTTTTGATCCCCCTTCTTTGTCATCAATAATAGATACCTGCCAAGTCTCCTGCTTTTTACTGAAGACTCCTATAATTTACGACTGTCTCCTATTTACCCATATATTTTCAAATTTCTCCGTATTTGTTGTAGAAATTAAAAAAAAAAAATCGGCGATAAAATATCTACTGATGGCAAAAATACTTCTCTTATTCCTCAACTGATACTGATATCGCCAGTACTGCAGTATGTTGATTCTTAATAGTTTAAGTAATTATAAATAAGTGTTTAAAAAATATTCTTTAGATTAAGATTTATATGCATATTTTTTCTTTGCTAAATGTAAATGCTTATAAAATTACGAAACCCTCCCCTTTTAACTGCTATATTTGAATAGTATCTTTTCTGCTACATGAATTTGGAAATATAGTGAACCTTTATTTTCAAACCTCTTATATTTGAATACTTTTGTTGACAGAAGTCTGTGCTAACTTTTTATCTATTCATGCTTTAATTTTTTTCCCAATTTCGATAGCATGGTTTCATAATTCAGCTATTCATGAGGCCTTCAAATTTAAAAATATATTGCAGCATCATTAAATGCAGTTTCTTATTTTATGTGGGTAACAAATTAAATTTTTGTTAGGTGGTTGCTTTGGTTTTGCTAAAGAAATTTCTTAGTTGTAATTTCGGTTGGTTCTTATGTCTTTTGAATGTTACCAGTACAGTTTAGTTTGGTTACCATGGCTTCTATTTTTGCCAAAAGGAAGTGTGTTATATTATCTGTAGAAGAAAAATTTGCTTCTTACAGAAAATGAAATTGAAAGAATCCTTACAAAGATCACCTGCTTTGGTATTGGTCCATACATCTATGTATGAATGTATGCATATAAAGTATAATACAAAACTGATTTACACTTATCAATTTGTATATGCATTGCATAAGTTATTTTATGCTTTTTGTTGTTTACCATTGCTATATAGTAATAATTTTGATACTGAGCAATTTAAAATCCAAAAGTTCTTTTAAAAAGTTTGTTAGAAAAATAAGCAAAGTGCTAAATGGCCACAAGGTTTACGTATATGGAGTAGTGTAATATTTCTGAATTCTGTATGTTTTATTTTCATTTGTACACAAGTTTTAAAATTTCACTTAAAAACAAGATTTTTTGCAGCTTCAGCACTTGGAAGTTCTTTTTCATCTTTTCTTACTAATTTCTTTATTTATTTATGACTAAGCATTTCTTCATGCTTGCACAAACATAAAAATTGAACAGATCATTAGATTTTTAAAACAAAATTTGCTATTGAGATTCTTGTCATAATTTTTTTAAAACTGATTTCATAAAATGTTTTAGCCAAAATGTGTAAATGTCTTGATTAATTTTAGCATTTTTATAGTCTGAGTATTTTGCTAAAGATGCTACAATAGCAGAAATCTGAGAACTATTTATGAAATTCATATGGGGATTGTAAGCATTTCCATTTGCAAGGTTTAATTATTCTCTAACCCTTAATTTTGATTGTTTTACCTAAAGTTTGTTGCAATTTTTTTTTCTTGTGAATATTATTTTTGTTTTAAGGTAATCTTTTAAAGTAATACCTGTAAAATTGAATTCCCTAGAAAATTCAGTTAATTTTGTGTTAACCTTTTTTTAACATTTAATTAGCATAATTACAATTAGTTAATTCACATATTACTTTTAAAAAAATATAAAATGTTAAAAAGAAATGGAAAAAAATAAAATAAAAAAGTAGATAATTAAGCATGTTACTCCACAGGAATAAGATTTATCTGGTTTTAATTTCAGATGCTAATAATTCATCTTTCTTTTTCAATATTATAGTATGCTATATCTTATCTATTTTTTAAAAATAATCCATAAATTAATTTAAGACAATACATTTATCTGTTTAGCCTTTAGAAAAAGTTATTTAAGACTATATATATCTACACATAATGCATTCCTGCATTTATATGCATATATCAATGTGTATTGAGATGCAATTCAGGTAGTTCTACCAGTCACTGGCTGGCGATGGTAACTCAGGGGTCTGTCCAGGGTAAATTTACTACCGTTTAGCGGTACCTTCACAAATTCAACTTTAGGAAAAATGGTAGTTTCACAAAATACTTTAAAAAAAGTAAATTCTTATGCAAACTATTCTTGTTGCAATCTAGGGAGAAAAAAAAAGAGCTTTTTCGCCAGCTGTCTTACGGAAAGGCAGCATGTGTTTGGTCAGATAATGCAATGTGGTAGGCCTAACGGGTCGCTTACGCCATTTCAAGACAAGCTTTTCTTCACTCAGTTTTTTTACAATGAAACGACGAGGCTCTCCCTCCATAAACTTTATAGGATGTCGAAATTCGAATATTATTCTAAACATTCGATCATTATCTTAACCACTATTCTAAATTTATTCTAACGAACCTTTATTTTTTATGAAATATTTTTTTCTCTTTGAAGCTTTTTTATGTATGACCTAGTCGAAAATGTTCTCATAATGATAATGACTATTAGTGCTAGTACTGTTAAATGCGTGTTTTTATTTAATTCAAATTGAAATTTAACTATGGACAATGATTTTTATGGATTTTTAAATTTGGATACAATTT